TTGCTCTTGCTCTTCTTTTTCTTCTTAGCCAATGGCTGAAAAACCCAAACAGTAGACATATGAGATAACTTAAAAAATTAAAAAATGAATAGTTTTACTCCATCACAAATCAGTTTTTTGTTCTGTTTACTTTCTTTTACACAACAGAGCAAAAGTAAAGGACTAGCATTGCCTTTAAAGCAGCTCCTAACATGTTTACATGTTCTGAGACTGCCGCCATGTGGCAGCAACATGTCATGACATGTAGAAATGCCTTTCTGTTGTAGAAAAAATGCACAAAAGTGAATAAGGGCTTCTAAAAACAGGTAAACCACCAACAGCTCCATGGTTAAAATGACATTAATCTAATTTCCCTCAGATATAAATTTAATGAGTGGCTTAACTTTTTGCTTCAAATGAAGTTTCCTTCTTTTTAAAGTGTGGCAAACAACTCATGCACCATTTATTCAGCCAAAGTTGAGCCAGACTGCAGAAAATCTTTGTATGTTTCGTTATTTTTGACTCTGTGATGTTTCACACCAGGTGCTGGCCTTGCTGTTTAATCCCCTTCTGTGTGAACAGCTGCAAGGATGTGGAACATTCCTGCCCCACTTGTAACAAGGTCCTGCACATCTATAAGCGCAGGTGAAACCTCTGGCAATCTGCAAAAACCCTCATTTGTGTGGTATGCACGTTGCACCTGCACCCCTGTGGACTGTACATACTGCATTGTGTAACAGCTATGCGTGCAATTCCATCAGTTCTTCGACTCGTTCTTAAACATGTGGTGTGAAGTTACATGTATGTTGTCTAAAGGTACTTCTTACAAAGTCATGAAGACCGGGCAAAAATACTTCGTAGAGTAAGAAACAAAATCTTATTATTGTATTATATATAATTTAAGTGTGATTAAATTAAAAAACTTTTACGGAAGGATTGGTGACCGGCTGCCAACTGCAACTTTGTTAGCTACAAAAACAGCTGAGGTGACTGAAAATAGTTCAACCATGACAGCGTCCACGGAAGAGCTGTTTGGGATTAAGAAGTCCAACAAGTTTGATGCATTGGTGCAAATGTACCCTCAGATTTGTTGAGAAAGCATGCCGATAAAAGTGCTTGTTTACATGGAGTGCAGACCTGCATTTCTGAAGTGCGTACTAACATCTGGAAAACTACTGAGGTACCATATTTTTTGGATTATAAGGTGCGCTTAAAATCCTTTAATTTTCTCAAAAATTGACATTGAGCCATATAATCCGGTGTGCCTTATAATCCGAAAAATATGGTAGACATTTGTGTATAAAATGTGACGTGATAGGAACTTGGTGAACTTGTTTTACTGTTATAAGATTATATTATAAACACTCTTGTTCAAACTTCATATAATGTTGTTTATTAAAAAGTTTACTGGTCAAGCAAACATTTTTTTTGTCTTAATGTGACGTGATTTTCATGCTGATGACATATAATTGGTTTTAAATATAATATCCATTGACATAAAAGCATTTTAATGTGGTTTTTATTAGGAAATATACATATAAAATATGTTTACTTGGGAAAACATGTTCCTGAATTACAGATGTGACTTTTATCTTTTTGAAACTGTAAACAAATTAAAAACTAAATTGTATGAAACCTGTCAGAGTAATCTGAAATAGCATTGTGTTTTGATCTAACTTTAACATTTACTTAACTTGTACACTACAAAAAATATATAATTTTGAGATGAAATTATTTATGATTGAATCAAACATTAACCACAACTGTGATGTATTATTTTCCTTAAAATACTCATGCAACATCGATTTACTTTTACTGATTGTGTTCCTCTCCACTCGTGTATGTAAAATACCAAAACATGATAAAAAATAAATTTTACAATCTCATAATTGCCAGAGTACTTTTTGTTTATCCCCTAACAGTGTTTATTGTACTCCAAGGACATTTTAATCTCACTCAACAGTTGAGTACTGCCTTTCTTATAGTTAGCCCAAATAAAGGTCAAGTATTGACACAATAAAAAATGTCCTTTATTAATCAAATTGTGTGTTTTTAATCAGTTCTGAATCATGTGACTGTAGTTCATTTTTTTTCTAAATATAAAAATCTTTAACTGTAACGTTTTACAGTGAAACAATACAAAACTTAAAATATTAGCAGTAAGAAAATACATATTTCTCGTTGCTTTTCAGGCCAGAGTTTTAGATTAAGATTATATTGAGTAATAACTAAATGGTCAAACATGTATGTTATGTGTGACTCTCAGCTACTACCACACCAATCTATAACTCAGTATTTATAACATTCCCTGAGGTTTAGCTGTTTTTGTGTAGACTAAGGTTGGCTAGCTGTGGTGGACATCTCAAGTTGGCTTCCAGAAGCCAATCAGAAGCAGATCATCCTGATGCATGCTCAATAATCCAGGTAGAAAAATCTAACAGAGCCACAGCCAGAGCAGACAGCGTCCACACTAACTCAGGGGCCAGGCAGATGTGGATATCCTAACTGGGCCTTCCTGAAGAAACCCAAACAGGACTCCAGTCAGCCACCAGGTGACGAGGAGGAACCCAGACCAGTGGTCGTCCCGTATGTTGCGGGAGTATCAGAGAAACTGAGATGTTTATTTCTAAACATGACATCACAGTGGTTTTCAAACTACAAAATACATTACAACACCATCCTAAAGCTCCAGTCCCCCGGCACAGAGTAATATTGTGTATGCTGTTCAGTGTCAGGAAGGTGATCAGACTTACGTCGGGGAAACTAAACAGCCACTGGCCAAAAGGATGGACCAGCACAGAAGATCAACATCATCAGGCCAGGACTCTGCGGTCCTTCGTGTTTTCTTTAAGTTTCCTTGAGGATTTATTTATTTATTTAAAAGTATATGTTTTTTAAGCATTGTTGCCATGTCAATCTTTATGTTTTATTTTATAAAAAGTACAGAGTTCACATATGGGCTTTCACTGATGTACACGAGCCTCGTCAGTGAGAATCTGCGTCGGACTGTGAGAAAGGAAGTGCTTTAATCCACGCTTATCAGACAGAGGCGAGGTCAAGACGACCTCGGCTTACCAGTTTACAGATGGAGGAGGTCTTGGAGTTTATCAGGTGCGCCTCAGGGCACCTGCAGGCTCCTCTCTGAGGAGTCAAAGCAACTCTCCAACTCACACTAATTTAACATTACATCCATAACCTTTACCTAACAATGTTCATTCAGTCAGGTCATCTGGATGGTTTCTTTTGTTGCTGAGATGTTTCATCCTTCATCCAAAGGACTTCTTTAGTCTGAGGAGCCCACCAAACTGAATCCCACTAACAGCTCACTCCCAGAGTGGAAAAAAACAGTTTGCTGGTGATAGCTGGCCAATCAGGGATTCAGTTTGGTTTGATGGGCTCCTCAGACTGAAGAAGTCCTTTGGATGAAGGATGAAACATCTCAGCAACAAAAGAAACCATTCAACTGAACATTGTTCGATTTATATCTGGATTAATGAGCATGAACTTTGGTGAACAACAAAGTCCATGCTCATTAATCCAGGTATACAATCCAACATTTTTCAGTCAGGTCATCTGGACAGTTTCTTTTTTTTGTGCTGAAGCATGTTCTCTCCGTTCATACATGGGTTTTCTCCAGTTTCCTCCCACAGAACAAAAACATGCATGTTAGGCTGATTGATAACTCTAACTTGTCCCTAGGTGTGAGTGAGAGAGTGAATGGTTGTTTGTCTCTGTGTGTCCCTGTGATGGACTGAAGACCTGTCCATGGTGTCCTCTGCATCTCGCACAGTGACTGCTGGGCATGAGCACCAGTGACCCCCTGCTACCCAAAAAGGAAGAAGCAGGTAAAGATAATGGATGGAATATACATTTTGTAAATATTGCTGTCATGTCAATCATTATGTTTTACTTTATAAAATTGAAATGATTTATTATTATTCATTTATTTACTTTTAATAATTTTTTGTAATCTGGTAAATCAAATTTTTTACGTCTAGTCTAATTTATAGATTTATTTATGTTTTATATGCTCATTTATTTGACAAATGTTCCGTGTTGAACATCTTTCTGATGGAGAAATCAGATTACTCTTGTTTGACTTTAAGACTGGCTCACAAAAAGTGTTTAAAGCCCAATTAACAACCAGTAAGTGTAAACCATTAAATAATACTTTATGACGGTAGTCAGAGCCTAACGTATTACCGTATTTTACGGTGTATATGTCGCAGTTTGTTGCATAGATTTGTCAGTCCTGCGACTTATACGCCCAAGCAACTTATATACATTTTTAACCCCAACATTCATAACACAATTTTTGACTGACGCTTTGAATTGCAAAGAACTGCAACAGCGAGCACTCCCGTGCACATTCGCTTCACTCAGCTGGTGCAGGCAGAGGAACGCTGGAGAGCTAGCGGCTCCGGCCGTGATGGATGGATGGATGGATAGATGGCACCGCACTGCCCAGGCGAAATGAAGCTGTTTTGACCATTAAAGTGCATTTATTAAGGAAATGTTAAACTGAGACACACCTTTGCTATAATGTCGAGCAAACAAATAATTGTTTTTATGTGTTAATCTTGTTAAATTTAAAAAATTTGCAACAGTGAGTCTTCCCATGTGCACTTGTTTCACTCAGCTGGTGAAGGTGGAGGAATGCTGGAGAGCTGGCCATGATGGATGGATGGCTGGATGGATGGCTGGATGGCTGGATGGCTGGATGGATGGCTGGATGGCTGGATGGATGGACGGATGGAGCCACACCCCCCAGGTGAAATGAAGCCGTTTTGACCATTAAATAAATGCATAATAAACGCGACTTCTACGTCGAAGCGACTTATATATGTTTCTTTCTCTTTGTGATGCTTTTTTTTTGACTGATGCGACTTATACTCCGGAGAAACTCATACGCTAGAAAATACGGTACTTGTTTGTTCTCCCTCATTTAAATCTATCGATATAAAAATTATTCACATGCCTCCAATCCACAGTAAATCAGTGACTTTTGGTCAAAATGACATCATGCCGTGTCCTTTCGGCCTCTAAAAAGATTTAGCTGAATCGTTTCTTCCAGGATGGCATGCAGCAACCTCTATTGGACTCACCTGAGCTCACCCTTATTTTAAATCCCATTTATCTTCCCAGCCCTCTAACATCTGCAGATATGTACAAGTCTGCCTAGAGCTGAGGTCTCCCAAAGCTTTGGGTTTAAAGGAGGAATTAACAGGGGGCAGTGGGAGTATGGTGGCAGGATGTAACAGCAAGATGTGCAAACAAGTGATTAATGCTGAGCTACGATTACAAAGTGAACTTATTTCCTTTCTCCTGGTTAGACAGGTGCAGCAGCTAACCACGCTGGCCGTGTGTGGGCGAACAGAAGTGAGCCGGGTTTGCATCTCTCCTGACACCTCCGCAGATTCAGTGTGAAGCCGGGAGAGAGAAACGCAGACGTGCAGACAGAAAGAACAGAAAGATGAGGACAGAGGGAGTGAGAGGGAAGAGTGAAAGAGACTGCGAGATATATTTGATCGTGTGGGTGTGCAAAGTGTCGAGGCATGCATCATAATTGTGGCTTCTTCTTGGAGCAGCTGGACAACAAGTCGCAGCATCAGCAGGACACTGCCGGTCCTTCAGAGGCAGTCGTCCTTTTAGAGCAGACAGAGCTGTGAGCGCAGGCGGAGACAAAATGGAAACCGTGTTGATCCTGCTGGTTGAAGGGCCTCGTTAATGCAGAAAAACACTTCAACCGATTGAAGTTGTGTCAGAAAATGATACGTGGAGAACAATGATGCTCCTGCGCCGCCAGTAACCGAGAACTCGAGTGAAGAATTCATCCGAGGTGAGTTTTCTATCAAGATAAATGGAGTGGCATTCATCGTGCTTGACTTTATTTTGCTCCTTTATTGAGATTCATCTGTTTAACAATGATTATTTTATTCAAAGTTTGAGGATTAAAACCTGTTTGCTGCAGTGTGATGGTTACAAATCGATGGGCTGTGTCCATGAAGGTCCTCACAAGTGATTTGAAACATGTGTTCATGTCTCTGCTGTTGGATGCTGAACTCGACTCCTGAAAAGCCCAGTATGTAATGTGGCCAGCCCACGCTGTTTCCCGTCTCCATGGAAACTATTGCCCAGTGCTAAAAGCGTTTCTATTCTGTGCAGAGAGTGTGCGTTTTGTGTGTGTGTCCAAAAGATGAACATCTCACACAACATCTTTACTTAATCCTGTTTCTGCTGTGTTTTAAATTATTTCTCTGAACATTGTTTTGTGTGTAAACTTTGTACTTCCTAAATGATCATTTTGCTCTAAAGTGTGCCGTTTCATTTGGACTTGTTGCTTATTTAACTATTTAACTGATAAACTCTCAAATCAAAAAGTATCTGGACTCATTTAACATCTTACCTCTCCATCAATCTGGTTTCAGGAAACAACACAGCACAACCACTGCTTCACTGAAGGTTCTTAATGACATCATTGAAGCGTTGGATGCTAAGGATTATTGTGCTGCACTTTTCTTAGACCTGTCTAAAGCTTTTGACACTGTGGATCATGACATAAATTCAATTCAATTCATCTTGTGTCATAAGCTCTCAGAAATTGGTTTCTCAGAACACACCATTGGCTGGTTCTCTAACGATCTCTCAGATCGGAGGCAATGTCAACAATGGTGTACCACAAGGCTCAGTCTTAGGACCCACCCTCTTTACAATCTACACAATCTACATAGGTAATGTAGATCAGAGCATTCCTGATGCATCCTTACATTTCTATGCTGATGACACAGTTGTTTATTATCGAGCTAAAACAGTTGCTAAGGCTTTCCAGCATTTGCAATCCGCTTTCGACATCATCCAGTCTGATTTGTTCCGTCTCAAATTTGTCTTAAACCCCGACAAAACCAAAGGGATGCTTTTTTCAAACAGGAAGCCGGTCCCAGCAGTTCTTCCTCTGATTTTATCCTCAAACGGTGTCCCAATTGAGTTTGTTGATTCCTACAAATATTTAGGTATCTTGGTTGACTCGCATCTCTCTTTTAAGCTCCACGTGAGAAACCTAGTAAGGAAACTGAAAGTTAAACTGAGTTTCTTTACCAGAAATAGATCTTGTTTAACTCTGAATGCTAGGAAACACCTCGTAGCTGCGACTTTCCTTCCCTCCATTGATTACAGTTATTAGTGACATTATTTACATGAATGCTCCTACAAGCACCCTGCAGATGTTGGATGTTGTCTATCACGGTGCACTAAGGTTCATAAGTGGCTGTGATTATCGTACCCACCATTGCACCCTGTATTCACTGGTTAACTGGACATCATTAACTTCACGTAGACTCTCCCACTGGTACATTTTCATCTTTAAATCACTTCTTGGTCTGCTGCCTTCATACATCTCCTCCTACATGTCTCTGCGTGAGTGCAGCTACAGCGTGCACTCTCAGGACATTATTACCTGCAGTGTTCCCTCAGTGTGGACTGAACTAGGCAAAAGGGCCTTCTCCTTCTCCGCTCCTGTTTCCTGGAATATCTTGCAAAAAGATTTGAAACTCTAGACCTTGACTTCTCTAAGTGACTTCAAACATCTGTTAAGTTCTTGGCAAGAACCAATGCAGACATGTTCCTGTTTTTAGTTTTCTACACTGCCTTATAATCTAGCTGGGGGGTTTCCCACTTTTCCTTTTAATTACCATTTTATTTTCATTTGTTAAAAAAAAAAAACATTGTACACATCCTTTATGATTGTCGTTGTTGTCCACTGTTGTCATCACTCTTTGTTAAAATCAGGTCTCTCTTGTAAAGGAGTCCCTGAGGCTCAATGGGATCTACCTGTTTAAATTAAGGTTGAATTTAACGCTCCTTTAACTTGTGTGTGTCTCTTTTGTTTCTAAGATGGCCCTCAGTCCTGTTTTCGTCTGTCTCCTGCCACTGATTGGTTGCAGCTCCTGCCTCCACCCGTCTCCTCCTCCTCCCCCCCGGGGGTGCAGTGTAGATGTGGAGCCCCACTACAGAGTGCTGTGTGACCTGGAGGCAGTGTGGGGCGTTGTCCTGGAGGCCGTGGCCTGCAGCGGCGGCCTCACCTCCATGGCCCTGGCTGTACTGCTGATAGTCAAGCTGCGTGTGGTCTCTGATCCCGCTAGGCGGTCCGGCCTGGGGCCCCTGCTCCTGCTCCTGGGTACGCTCCTCGGCCTTTTCACCATCTCCCTGGCGTTCCTGGTGGGGAAGACCCAGGTCCTGTGTGTGGTCCGCAGGGCCTTCTGGGGTCCCCTGTTTGCTCTCTGCTTCTCCTGCTTGTTGGTGCAGGGCGTGAGGCTCAGGAGGCTGGTGGCCGGGAAGTCCAGCCCGACGGGGAGCGCCCTGGCAGCGCTCGGACTCGCGCTGGCTCTGGTTCAGGGGATCATCTCCGCTGAGTGGGTTCTCCTGACTGTTGTGAGAGAGGGTCACCCAGCCTGTGAATACCCACCTCTGGATTTTGCCCTGATGTGCAGCTACACCCTGGGGCTGCTCCTCATAGCCATGGGTCTCTCTCTTGGGGTGGTGCTGTGTGGAGGAGAGTGGGCGGAGGAAGCAGGAGATGGAAGAGAAGACGACAGAGAAGGAGAGAATGAAAAACGAAGCTGGAAGTGCAACGCCGTCTGGGTCTTTCTCTCCAGTCTGGCGTCAGCGCTGCTGTGGGTGGCCTGGCTGGGGTTCTACCTTTACGGCAGCCAGACGTTACGAGGGAAGGGGGGCAGGGAAAAAGGAGGAAAGAGGGATCTGAGAGTGTTGGATGAGCCGGCGCTGGCCGTGGCCTTGGTGATTCAGGGCTGGATCCTGCTGCTCCTCCACGCCATCCCAGAGTCGCACCTTTGCCTCCGGAAACCTGAAGAGTCCAACACGCAGGATTACTTCGACACAAGTCGCGTGTCTCCTGCTCCACCGTTTGGCGATGAGCTCCCCGCTCATTCCCACCCACCCTTCCGGGAAAACCAGGCCTTCTCAATGGAGGAGCAGCACAGTACAAGTAGGTTAACATCTGCTGGTCTTTGTTGGTATGCAAATAAAAACATGCTCAGCTCCTGACTACATCATATTTATGACATACATGTATGAATTATATTTGATATTTGTGTATTATCACAGAAAATTATGAGCTGACTGTTGCTAGGCAACCTGACAACAAAAATACGTTCTGCTTTTGACCACTCCAACAACCGTGACGGCTTCCAGTGGAGTTTAAGATGAAACAAACTTCATTGTTTGCATTTTCAAATATCAAGAAGAGAAGAAGAAGAAGTCATGTAGAATTAAAAAGGAAAAAATAAATTAAGGAAAGGTCTCCATGTCTTGAAGGAAGGCGTATAGTTGACCGTCTTTTATGTCAGAGTTTAAAATAACATCTTATTTTGAGAAAAGACAAAGTTGTCGCTGTTCTGGTCAAACGTAGAAAACATCATTATGCAGAGATTTCACGCTCTGAGTACATGTTGTGAATGACTCTCAGCTACTACCACATCAGACTTGAGCCCAGCATCTGTAAAACTGACTGAGGTACGGCCATTTTTGTTTTGGCTATTATAGATTAGCTGTGACATCCATCTTGGATTAGAGCGACCTCAAAAGATAATCACTTTGTACATCCTTTTACTTTCTGAAAATTTAAATAAAAATAATAATAAAGTGGTTTATGAGATATTTTGCTAAAACAAACGAAGTTGACTTCGAAAGTTTATGATGAAGTTTTAATAAAAGTCAGCCACATTTTAGCACATTTATAAATTGAACGAATTATTGATATGTTTATATTTATTAAAATCAGCTGAACGTAGCTGTCATCTTGAATTATGCTGGCTCTAAAAGTGAATCAGTTTTAGATACGCCCGGTGATTATTTGATGAAAGTTTGCCCGTTTGGGTTTGTGAGATATTTTGCTCACGGACAGGAAGAGTTAGCTCCAAATGAGTAACGTCAAAATATTCACCCCAAAAATTTGTTCAACCTGTTAAGGCTCAAAATATGTGTTCGGAATATGTCTCAGCTACTAGAACTCCAAATTTTAGGTCAATATCTGTGAAGTTAAATGGGTTATAGCCTTTTTTTAGGACTGTGGTAGCCATCTTGAATAGGCTCTAAAAGTTAATCATTTGTAGATGTGCATCGGTTAATTACTTTCTGCAAGATTCGTTAAAATCCATGCAGTGATTCATGAGATATTTTGCTAACAGACAGGCATAGGATCACCCAAAGCAGACAAGAACATGACCGCTTGCCTTTTGGCAGCAGGTGATAATTAAAGTTGGTGCAGATAATTTCTGCATTAAAACAACATCTGGGTATGTTTACAGAAATGGCTGCTTGATTTTAGCTACTGTACAAAACACTAAAATCCAATTAGCTGTGATGAAGCCTGATTATCCAACAGCTTTTCCCATCATGAGTCATTTCACTTTGATTGCTCTCTAAATTTCTCTGGAGGCAGATGCACAGATGAGGACTTAAGCTTTGATGATTCAACTTAAACCACGACGGTGGAAATGTCGACACGAAAAGCTATAATTTACTGTGTCTGCGCAGCCGAAATCAGCACGTCTCTCAAAGAGAACTAGAGAAATTGCATTTCCTGCGTGAATGCTTATTGCTGAAGAACCTGCTAAAAAACAGCTGAAAGTAGCTAAAACATGCTGATATGTAGCTGAAATTGTCGCTAACAGAACAGGAACCTCACTGCTAACTGAATCACGCTGTAGATGTATTTTCTTTTTCAACTTTGGCGCCTTTTTTGTTGTTGTATTTTACTAGTATTTTTTAATGCTTGTTGTAGTATGTTAGTAGTATTTTTAGTATAATTTTTGTATTTTTGCTGCATGTTTTGATATTTCTTGTTGTTGTTGTTTTTTGGCGAGTCCAGACAGTTCTTCTCGTCCTAAGCATTTCATTGCACTGTTGACCTTGTATTGATTTTGCAAATAAACCTAACCTAAACTGAAAAACAAGACCAAGTTAGCAGAAAAAAAGCGGAAACAAGTCACTGAATTATGTTTAAACAAGAATAAATGAGCCCAAACGTTAGGAAATTAAAGCTAAAGTATTTGAGGATATTTATTTTTACTGGCCAAGAGCTAAGTTGGCACCGATGTGAAAAACTGTAGCATGTCTCATGAAATACAGCCAGGAAAATGGGGAAGAGGCTGAACTGAAAGAGGATTTTATTCACAAGATGAAGATGCTGGATGGGAATTTGTCCAAACCATCAGACAATGATGACTTAAACAGAACCGTCTGGTGCTTAACTACATTTGAAATAAATAAAAAAAACACTGAAAGCTTATTGGTATATTCTTAAAGGTGAACCTCTCAATCCTTCTCCATTCAGGCAACTAAAGCCTCCCTCTGCCCCCAGCCACATATTTTCAAAATAAAGTTGTGTTTTTTTTCTTCCTTTTCTTCGCCTTGTTCTTTTTGTTCTTGTTCTTTCTCTTTTTCTAGTTCTTTGTCTTGTGAATGCTGGGGTGGACTGTCAAAACCATGTGAAATTTTATCCCTATGTCTGGAAATATTGAATTATAGCTATTTTGGATTCGCCAATGAGGATTAGTTGTGGCAGCCATCTTGAAATAAGTTAATTTTGAAACATCAAAGTTCACGCTCAGTAATCCAGGTATTAAATCCAACAATGTTGAATCCAACAATTAATCCAACAGTTTCTTTTCTTTTTTTCTTTTTTTTTTTGTTTTGTTGAGAGATGTTTCACCCTCAACAACAACAACAAAAAAAGAAACTGTCCAGGATGACCTGACTGACCATTGTTGGATTTTTTTGCCTGGATTATAGAGCATGAACTTTGATGTCTTGAACCACTTTGCCTGTGGCTGCCTGCCTGAGAGGAGTCGACGGGGGAGAAGACGGCCCCCAGAAACCACCACCAGCAAACTGGTTGGTCCACTGTGGGTGTGTACTGCTTAGTGGGGAAAACAGTTTGTTTGGGACACCTCAGACTGATGAAGCCCTTTGGATGGAGGGCGAAACATCTCTCAAAAAAATAAAGAAAAAAGAAGAGAAACTGTCCAAATGACCTGACCGAACATTGTTGGGGCAACTTTGAAAGTTAATCAGTTGTAGATGTACTTTCTGAGTTGGGATATGTTGCTAACACAACAGACAGACATCTACATGATTTACATGATTACCCCATATTGCCGCTCATCCTGAGCCTGGTTCTGCTGGAGGTTTCTTCCTGTTAAAAGGGAGTTTTTCCTTTCCACTGTCGCCTTTGTGCTTGCTTAGGATGGGAGACTGCGACGAAGTGAAGATTCAACACGTCTGCTGGCGTCCATACATAGAGAACTTGTACTAATTGGCTTTTTATGCATGTGAATGTTTCTGTTCACTGCCCAGAGACAACTTCTGCTGTGACTTGGCTCTGTAGAAATAAACGATTGATACGAATTGAATATTAATCGTGGAAGATAATGAAAGTCATTCAGTGGACAAATTGTTCTCAATAAACAAAATGCCATTTTTGTTTTGTTTGTTGCCATTTTAAATGGTTTAGCGTTTGCCGCTGTTACTGTTGTACGTAGCAGGAATGTATTTTTAGGATTACATCAAAGCCCTTAAAGTCTGAGCACTGAACACGATCGAGAGTTCGTCTCTAGTGCATGAATTTCTCAAAAAGATCCTCCTGCTTCAGAACAGTGGTACGCGACATCGCCAAATGGGTTGAACACTAAAAAGAAGTCACAAAAAAATACATGATATCAGCTGGATATAACGTGTACGTTTTTGACAGGACTTCCGGTAATAAACCCTGTCACACCTGAAAAACTGTTCTTTACTGATTGGTCTTGCAGCCGTCCGAAGCGGAACGTACCACAGCAGCCATGGCAGCGCCCGTCAAGGAATCGCCTTCAGAGGTCACGTCTACCAACCCACTGAGATGGCTTTGGTCATGAACGGTGGCACGGTAAGTGCAATGAAAACACACACTCCAAATACCTCCAAACCATTAACTAAGTGGCCGTACTCACCCCCCGTCGTTCCATCATCTCTTGCAGATGCCCACTGCTCCAATCAACTACACTGGAAGACGTTTGTGGTAACGCGGGGCACGATTTGACAGGAAACCCTCAAGTCTCTCTGTGATGTTGAAGCATTTCTGTTTGAGAAGAAAGAAAGAAGTATTCCTTTGTGTTTGACTTTCTGCACACTCCACGTGTCAGAAACCAACAAAAAGTGTCTGTTTAACTTGCTTTCTGCTTGACTTGATCTAAAGACTTGACTCAAACTCACAAGAAAGGGAAAAGAAACTGACACGATTAAAACACTTTGTTTAAGTTATGTAACCATTTTATATTACAGGGCATATAGCAGGGCTATTCAACAAAACTGCTCAGGAGGACACAGTTTCTGAACGCCAGCAGCTCAGGGGCCGGACATCCAGCAGTTAAAGTTGTTTTGGAAATAAACCAAGTATTACAATGATCTGTTACCTTTTAAATGTGCTTGTTTTATTGCATTGAATCATAAATGCAATAAACAGAAGCCAAACCCAAACCCCCGCCCCCCCGTGTTTTAAAAAGTGAACTCATTAGTGGGCCAGACTGAAGTCACCTGCGGGCCCGAAGTGGCCCATGGACCGCCAGTTGAATAGCCCTGGTATACTGTAGGTTGACATAATAGAGAAGGTGACTTAAATCTAATTATACTGGATGTACTGTTGTCATGAGCGGCATGGTGGCGCAGTTGGTAGAGCTGTTGCCTCTCAGGGAGAAGGTTGCCGGTTCAAATCCCAGCATGGGACCTTTGCTCTCTCCATGCATGCATGGGTTTTCTCCAGTACTCTCCAGTTTCCTCCCACAGACCAAAAACATGCACGCTAGGCTGATTGGTAACTCTAAATTGTCTCTAGGTAAGAGAGAAAGGTTTGTCTCGTTTGTCTCTATGTGTCCCTGTGATGGACTGGAGACCTGTCTAGGGTGTCCCCCGCCGCTCAGTGATAACTGGACATGGGCACCAGTGACCCCCCGTGACCCGAACAGGAAGAAGCGAGTAAAACATAATGTATGGATAGAATGGATGTTGTTATGGCTCTGAGGTCACAGGAGAGGGTTTTAAACACGTTCAGGTAAACATTGTACCTGAGCAGCTTCACACTCGGCCTATAAAAGCTCATCCTGACGCCTGCTTTATAAAACTGCACTTTGCTTAAACTTAGCCTTTAGCAGTTGTGTTTAACTTTCCAGCATATACCTACAAATCTCGCTTGTCCTCTGTACTGCATTTCCAGGTTCTCATGGTGATTTTTTTTTCTCGTTGCCAATCCAGTATCAGTGCTGTGGGACAGTTTGGTACATTTCACCACTTATAGTCAAAAATGCCATATATTCAGTCGAGCGTGTGCACAGACAGACGAATCTAAAGGGACTTGAAAAGTCTGCAGGTCAGTAACAGTGTTTTAATTGTGTATGTTTTTAAGAAGCATATAATAAAAGCCATTGATGCTGTAAAACAGCATAAATATTAGAAAGTTCTTTTTACGTTATTAACAATGTTCACGGCGGACTTGTGAGGCTCAAAATTATTTTAAATGTATGTGACATCAGTTTAGATTAGAGGTATTTTAGCTACATGTGTATTTAGGGTGTTGTTTTTGGAATTCTTTTTTAATTTCATGTGTAAAGTAGGAAATGACCGTGCGTGGTTTTGCCTTTAAAAAAGTTGATTTTTCACAACAGACATGCCAGTAAATAAATTGTTTCTTTCATACATAAACAATATGGCTTTATATTCTGAAAAATCTATTTTTTATGAAATTTTATAAATTCCAGTTCAGACTGTGCCAGATAACTTCAGATTATTTAGTCAAAAAAAAAAAAAAAGAAACCCTACAGACTGTTTTATTATTATAATACTCGGACCTAAAACTTTTTCTGAATATAAACATGTTGCAGATCAGGCCCTGTCTGCAAAAACATGGATATTTTGAAAAAACAACAACAATTTTGTTGTTTTTGTTTTATTAGCATCCATCTTTCACGTGAAAAATATGTTGTTTTTTTTTTGTTTTTTTTTTAAATGCTGCGTTCTATTCATCTCATAAATCAGATCTCAGTCACAATCAGTTTGATTAATTTCAAGTTGGAAAAGTTGTGCTTAGTTACTGAGATAAATAACTACGAAATAAATTATGTATTTTTCTGTGTTTTATATCTTTTAACACTGAATGTTCACGGACAAATGTTTTAAAGCATTACTAAATCCTGATGTATTAAAAAAAACACTTACCGTTAGAAGTGCAAATAAATGATTAATTACTACGTTTATCTCAATTTGAATTGAGTCCAATTAATATTTAAGATGTGAGATTGTGGGAAACAATAGATTTGCAAATAGAAATTTAGACTTTAAGGTGATTCGAGCTGAATTTCCAGACTTTGAACTCTAAAGACCTGACTAAAAGTAGAAGTAGAACGCAGCATGGGTGAATCTGTGTGAACTCAACATGGATTTAGGTGAACTACAACCCACGAACTCGCTTTTGTATTTTGTGGATTATGTCATTCCCACATCTGGCTTGTTTTATTCTTTATTCTGCTCGTGTGCTGAAAAGGTGAATTTCTGAGAGGAAAGAACGTCAAAGAAAAGATGAACTGTTCTGCCATGCTATCAGTGTTCTTTGTATTTTAATGTGCTTATGTTGATGTTACCATGACACAGTGGGGTGTGTGTGTGTGTGTGTGTGTGTGTGTGGGGGGGGGGGGGGGGGGGGGGGGGGGGGGGGGGGGGGGGGGGGGGGGTGGGGGGGGTAGCATTTTTGTTAAAATTTTCTGCTTCCCACCTAGAACTATAAAAGTTTTCTTTAATTTAAATAGAAAAAAAATGTGTTTGAAAGAATATCCACAGTAGAGTAGTCGGGGCCCAAGACTCAGAGCCCTTTGGAATGACAACATGTGGCATTTTATGGTATGGTATGGTATGGTATATAGTTTATTCATTTTAAAAAAGTACAAAACAATTCCATAATGAATTCCATAAAGAATGACAACATGTGGCATTTAATGCTGTTAAAGGGATAGTCCGGTCTTCTTTGAATTTATGCTCCATCAATAGATAAAAATATTTAGTGTCTTGTTTAACTAGCCCTTAGCTATAGCCTTGATGAAGATACAGTAGTCCCTTGTTGATCATGGGTGATCCGTACCCTGACGCCCCATGATAAATGAAAAACTGCGAAGTAGGAATAGTAGTACAAGTAGTAAGTAGTAGTTTATTTTAGTATTTATATTTATATTTCTTATTTTATAGTTTTTGTATAGTTAGTGTATATATAGTTAGTATTTATACA